TGCCTATACTGCATGGTAAATTAACAGAATGAAACATTAAAAACACAGAGAATGATTCCCACAAAGCACACCAAGAAATAGTGAGATACGCTTCATTTGTATAATTTAAATAATCATTAAACATGTTCTAATATGACTGAGTGAAATTCAGGAGCAGGACCACGCCTCAAACTCCCTCTGCTCCTCTCCAGCCAATCACTGCTCACCTCAGCCTCACCTTCAATTACCCAGAAGCCCTCTTTATACGGGCCTATCCTGAAAACACCGTCTGTCTCCACTCTCTCTCGACTCCCTCCCTCCCTCAATGAGACAGAGCCCCCCCTCCAGAGCCTCTACCCAGCCACCACATCCATCACTGTCCATATCAATAAATATCTTAATCATACACCGTTGTTGTGCTGTGGTCCTTGATATTGAATCTGTATTTTGTATCCTAGTGCTGTCAGTCCATTTACAAAAAGAACCCAATTAATCACACAAATGTTTTAGTTGCAAAGCGTACACAATGGATATATATTTTTAAAGTCCTACACAGATTAGAAAGTACTCCACTGTGTTTTTCAACTCCATGCACTTTCATCAGAATTAATTGGATAGTTTCAACCCTGGAATTGCACATTTCTACAGAACTAAACGTAAAAAGCAGCTGTTAACTTCAAAACTACAGCTTGAACGTAAAGTATCCCTGTCTAATATTCAACTATGACATTAACAACCACTGTTTTAGCCCTATATAACCAGTGATTACAGATTACATGTACCAGAGTTACGTAATCAGAGTACAAATTATGAGGAACTGTATTTGGTTACAGTTACTGTTTCAGTGAGTGGTAATTGGATTACAGTTACTTTGTTAAAATAAATGGATTACATGTCGGTATTTTCCTTTTTTTCCTGTTTTCACATTTTGGGCTATATCCTCCTTTTGTTTTGTTTTTTTGTTTGTTTTTTTGTTTTTTTCCGGTAATTTCACTCATTGCCGGAAACTAAACCAGGACTAAAACCAGGTCTAAACTAGATCTAAACAGGTCTAAACTAGATCTAAACCAGGACTAAAACCAGGTCTAAACCAGGTCTAAAAACCAGGTCTAAACTAGATCTAAACCAGGACTAAAACCAGGTCTAAAACCAGGTCTAAAACAGCACTAAACCGGGACTAAACCGGGACTAAACCAGGACTAAACCGGGACTAAACCAGGATTTAACAGGATTAAAACAGGACTTAACAGGACTAAATCCTGCTGTGCGGACGTGTCTCCTCTTCTTCTATCAATTATATTTTTAGTACGGTTAAGTAAAGTCTGGGCTTTTCATTTTCTTCTATCAGACAAAACATATTCTTACGATTTCCTCGTCTTTGCTTCTCTACAGCAAATCAAGTAATCCAAAGTATTCAGATTACTTTACTCACTTTACGTAATTTAATGGATTACGTTACAAACTACATTTTGGAGTAAGTAATCTGTAATCTGGGAATACATTTTAAAAGTAACCTTCCCAACGCTGTATATAACACTCCTATATCACACAACATTGACTTGTGAGCTTTAAGTCAGGCTATAATGTTTACTCATTGAAAACATGCCCGGAGTTTTGACCTTTAGTTCAGTAGAGATTGACAATTCCAAGGCTGAAATGATCCATCTGATTCTAGTGAAAGTGTGGAGTTTAAAAACACAGTGGGGCACTTCCTGTATTACCACATGACATCACAAGGTAGAACAGTGTGTTTTCTGTTTGAGCAAGAACACAACCTAAATGTCTGCAGGCAGTTTGTGTCTTTTTGTTTGAAAAAAAATGACATTGATTTTGAACAAAACAACAACACAGCTCCAGTTCTTTTTAGTCTGTATTGTGATGATTGTGAAGAAACATTCTCTTCCAAAATAGAACATAGAAAATACAGTGATTTTATAGGGCCCTTTAATCTGCTACTTCTTATAGGCGAGTTTCAGCTGACGTCATTGTTATTAAAAGCCCGCGTTGCATGATGGGAATTATTTTGGTCGGAGGCAAGAAACATGGTAGCAGTCAAACCCAGTGCGTAACCTCGCTTATTTATCCCTGATAATGGTAAATTCCTGCTGCATTATCGGATGCACAAATAGAAGCACAGAAGAAGGAAAATGTCTTTTTCATATTCTGAGTGAAAAGAACCACTAACGGTGAATTAAATGGGTTTCAAACAGAAAGAGCAAACATAGAAGATCCTAACAAACCGTGGACTCCAACAAGTTCAACAACACATCGAGACTCTTGGAGGTTTTCATCTTTTCTGCTGTGAATGGCCCAGGAGTTTCCACCAAGTCATTGTGGATATCGCCCAAGTGAATATTTGTCCAGGTAGTTGGTGATTCTGACCAGAAATTTGGTTTGGTCCACCTTTTGTTCGGGGTTGAAAAGGGTGATTTGGCTCCATCGATGCTCATGACCAATTTCTGGTCAAATGGTCTTGGGTCCTCTGCTGTTAGAGTGGATAAATAACCGGGATCAATACCCTTTACATGCTTTCTCGCTCTGTCCGTCATGTTGAATTAGTGTTTCTTGCCGCCGACCAAAAATAATTCCCAGCATGCAACGCACGCTTTTTGTCAACAATGAAACTCGCCTATACACTCAAAGTCCATAACAACATCATATCCCAACCCCATTGACACTTCAAAGTCCAGACACAACACATCACGTCATTGATCACTGCACTGCTTCTATAGGCGAGTTTCATTGTTGACAAAAGCGCGCGTTGCATGCTGCTATTTTTTGTAAGTAATCAAAAAAAAAAAAAAATGTTTTTTTCAACTGACAGTTCAGATCAAGAACTTTGGCCCAAACTCTGTCATTTTCAACATAAAAACTCAAATATAACAGCAAAAACTAAGTTGTGAGCACCAAAAACTGAAAGGATGTTGTGCTGTGGTCCTTGATATTGAATCTGTATTTTGTATCCTAGTGCTCTCAGTCCATTTACAAAAAAGAACCCAATTAAACACACAAATGTTTTAGTTGCAAAGCGTACACACTGGATAGCTGGATTGGATAACAATAGCTCCAGTTTGACATTTAAGTTGTAGGCATTTTATATTTGTTATTTTTTAATATCTCACGTTGGGAGAAGTGGGTGGAAGGTGTACCCCGTGTACCACGCCCACTACACCCCTGCTTTTGCGTCACCGTATGCACGCAGATTTCCTCCTGAAAATGCTCGTATAAACGCAGAATAAAAAGTGAAGACACGATGCCACTTTTGTGTTTTCTGTTCAGACGTCATCATATAAACGTTGTCTAAGTGTGCACCCTGAGTCACTGCAGAACACGCTAGAGGTTATGAAAAAAGAAGTTTAATGTACATCCAGTAGAGAGAGCCCTTTACAAATGAAGTCAAGGGAAATTCTATTTTAATTAATAATTTGAAAATGGTAAGAGTGATATATGTACAAGACACGGCCAACAGATTTGAGAAATGTTTACTGTTAAAACTGTTGTGAGTCTTTTTTAAATAAATGAATCACATTCAGACTAATCATGCTTTTGTCTTTTTATTATAATCAGAGTAGAACATTCCACATAATTATACATGCAGTGTTGATTAGAGCATAAAATACACATCACTCTGAGATTTGATTTGATTTTTGATTTTGATTGGGATCCACATGAGCTGATGTCAGTGACACCGGCTGCTCTTCCTGTTGTTGTTCCCATACAACACACAACAACAACAAATGAAACACTTAGAAAATAAAACACAAAACTGACAATCATACAAATCATTTCTGATTGGAATACATTACTGATTACTTGCAAAGGGCTATAAAATAGTTTTTTAAATGTATTATTAGCCAGTTAAAAGGTTCCATCTAAACATAGGATGTCCAAACAATTCCAAAATCTCACCTCCCATGTATTAAAGTCATATTACATTTAATTTTTTTTTCCATATGAAGAGTCAAAACTTCTTGACACTCAACACAAAACACTTGAGAAATAATGTTTTGTTTGTTTCACATGGTTAATGGGACGTCACTGGTGGAAGGGGCTTCTATTATTCATTGTTGGAGTTGTTGGTGGGTCATATTAAACATGTTTCATTGATCAAATAAGTACAAAATTTTCTATTTTGCTAAAAATCTGCAGATATATGTTTACTAAACTGCTTAACTAGATTTTAAAAGTTCCGTAAAATATCTGAGATTAAACCCATATTGGAGTTCTTGCTCTTTCCTGGTAATCTCTGATCATAAACCGCGCTTGGAGTCCTTTATCAACTGCTGTACCAGTGCAGTACTCGTAAGTCTTATATTTACCAGAATCAGGGCCTTCAGCAAAGTAGGTCACCCCACTGCCACTGCCCAGAGTTGTAGTTATCTGTGCTCTCTCTATAGGACTCATACAGCGCTACCCAGGCATCAGGAAACCACCGGTCCAGAGTATAATCTTTTTCAAAATACAGGCGGAAACAGCTGTAGCCATTTCTAACAAAGAGCTGCAGTTTGGCAATGTCATAACCTCTAATCGGAACTGGCTTTGGACTTTGAAATTCTGGACTTCTGCAGTACTCTCCTATAAACGATAACCTGAGCCCGAAATCGCCGTAATTTTTCAACCTCGCCTGAAGCCCGTCGTTCAGTGATACCGAAGTTTCATAACTGCCACTACTGCTTTCAAGTACTATGTATGTTTGTAGTATATCGTTCGAATTCGAAGAGTAATATAGCTGCTTGTTTATCTATCCAGCTCTGATAAACATCTCTCCACACAATAGTAGCATATCCATTGCTTCCACTCACCACAGCAACATGCATCTGATCAAACTCTTTTCACATTGGCTTGGTATTGGGCCACCACAGCGTTTCATCCTTTTTCTGGATAGGTTCATGTGTAATATAAGCAGCCCTAGAGGAGCTTGCTCTCTCCCCCATGTGTTTATAATGCTGTTTAACTGGGAGTTGTCTATGTTCTGGTTGTACTGGTCCCTCAGCCTCTGCAGTGCCGCCACATCGTCGTCGTTGAATGAAAACTCTTGGAGTTCTCGGAGCAGCTCGGGGCTTATTTCAAAGGTGCGAGCTGGGTCATGTGCAGTGCCCTGAGACCTGGATTCATAATGTTGGGTGAGATACACTTGGTGGATGCGCCACCTTTTTCCATTGTAGCTTAGGCAAAGGAGAATGCGAGCCCTGTTCATATTGGGCATGTTCAGACCTTTGGGATGACGCACATATGGAGGAATGGTCTTGGAGTCATTGAATTTCTTATTAACATTGCCTAAAGTGTAATATTTGCAGTCTCTGTCCAGCAAATTTTCAGGGTTTTCATAGGGGTCGGACCCATAATCTGTAGTTGGGTCAAAATCTGGATAGACATGGGTGTTATTGTCGATAGAAACGTGGTTGGCGAGCAGGTGGAGCAGAGGGAGGCTGTGCGCAGAAACAGGATTTTCTTTTTCTGCATAAATTCTTTTCAGATCCTGTGTGGAGTTGAGCTTTAGAAAAGTCTTAGCAGAGACACAGCTCAGTGCTGCCAGAGTGAGGAGCCAGACGAGGATGGCTCTGGATCTCTTCATTGTTCTGTTCACAAAATAAAACAGGAAAAAATGTCATTTAAAAAGTACCAGCTTCCAGTTCCAACTAACTGTGACAAAGTCCAACTGAACAGTCCTCATGTGTGCTCTCTGTTCTGTAGGAGCTGAAGCTTTAGATGCTCTCACATGACAAAACTATAGGACCAAACACAAGGAACTGTATGTAGCTGTATGTAGTTTTAAAAAGGTGCTACAATCACAACTGAACCTCGAACCTGCCAGAGTCAAACCTTTGTAGATACAGTTCCTTTTAATAAAATACAAATGTTATATGACAGTTTCTAGACATGAAGAGGTGCTCACCGTCAGATGTGAAGAAGCTTGTTTGGAGATGTTCAGACTGCAGCAGATTCCACACAGACTCCAGGTCCTCAGTGTGCTGTGGTCCAACTCCAAGCAGATGAGACGAGTGTGACCACTGCAGAAGAACACACTCTGTCAGACTGTCACACACACATTTATGAAAGCAAAGTTCAGTGTAGTTTTGTGAAGTTCAAAATCCACAAGATCATTGATTTAACCAATAGAAAGTTAGAAAATCAAACAGTGAAAACACACACACACACACACACACACACACACCATCTCTCACAAAGCTGAATATAAGATGTATATTTAGTTAACCCAAAATAATGTCTGTGTTCCCTTCAAAGTCCAGATGTACAGAAAAGCTAAAAATAAGTTCTTTTACTGTGCCATGGCTGCACTGACCTGATGTCTTCTGGACTGTGAAAAACACTACAGTCATTTCTGTTTAGATCAGATCCTTTTTGTGTGATCCAAACCCAACAAAAGGATTTGCAAGGAAAACCAGCCTTAATATTTCCTCTTTGAAATGGCCAGGCCAGTTAAGAACAGAAATAAAACCCAGAGTTTGAGCTCAGCTCAAAGTCTGCTGGGGAAGTATAGTAACTATGGGAAGGCACTATCTTCTGGATTCTTCTACTTTGCCTGTCAATAAATTTCACTGTTCAGTTCACCTGGAGTCTGTTCTTTTGCTATTCATAAGTTGTTCCATGTCTCGTTCCCTGTCCTCCCACTGACTTCTCGGTGCTGACTGGACTCTAGTTACCTCTCCTGTGCCCTGATTCACTTCTGTGGACCTACATCCTCCTCTTCTCTCACCTGACTGGATGACCCTCCTCTGTCCTGGATGAGCCCCTCTCTGTGTCTCAGTCTTGAGTGGGCTCTGACCCTACACACTTGAACTCTATCTGCAGGAGGATGCTCAATAGTCTTGGATTAGTCCTTTTGATTTTCTAACTTTCTGTTGTTTAAATCAACGATCTTGTTGATTTTGAATGTTACAAAATTCTCTCAGAGATCTTGTAGATGTTAGAATAGCTTCAGGTGACAGTCTGTAAACATGAAGAGGCGCTCACCGTCAGAAGTGAAGATGTTGTTTGGAGACAGATGTTCAGACTGCAGCAGATTCCACACAGACAGGAGCCACTCGAGGAAGTCCAGGTCCTCAATGTGCAGGAGAGTACAGTCTGTGAAGCTGTCATCGCCACATTTTATAAGGCCCAACAAGTGACTGTGGATAGAGGAGGAGACTTCGAGGAAAAATTTCTTAGAGATCCCGAATATGAGGTCAAAGGTCAAGTGTTAAAGAAACGTGAAGAAGTTAAAAAAAAGAGCAGAAATGAGGGTGGAGATGCAGTGTGCACAGAAGTGAGAGTCGATTATCAGCATTTTAGCAGCTTTTCCTGAAACCACAGAAAGAGGAACAGAAGAAACACCTGCAGCTCTGAGAAATCATATTCAATTTATTTTGTAAACCCAAAATCACAGCAGCAGTTGGGTGATTCTCATGAATGATTTATCTTTGTTGAAAACCAATACGAGTACGGGTATAATCATTTGTATACTTGCCGATACTGAGTACCGATACTGATATTTTCACCCCCATGAACATACACTGAGTGTGTTTACATGTACATCAGTGTCCTGGTTATTCGTCATATCCTGGTTATGGCAGTATTCAGGAACTGCTGTTTACATGTGCGCTGAGAAACCGGGATATTCACATCCCTGTGTACATGATCAAATGGAGTATCCCGGGATACTCTTATCCCTGTGTACATGATCAAATGGAGTATCCCGGGTATCCTGTGTACATGATCAAATGGAGTATCCGGGATACTCTTATCCCTGTGTACATGATCAAATGGAGTATCCCGGATACTCTTATCCCTGTGTACATGATCAAATGGAGTATCCCGGGATACTCTTATCCCTGTGTACATGATCAAATGGAGTATCCTGGGATACTCTTATCCCTGTGTACATGATCAAATGGAGTATCCCGGGATACTCTTATCCCTGTGTACATGATCAAATGGAGTATCTTGGTTTCTTGACATAATCTTACAAATGCACAAGCTCAAAAATTATATATTTAATTAACCAGAAATGCACAACCATGAGATTATCATGTGTTTAATGCAGCTTTGTGCACATTTGTTTATGTTTTACAGAAACAAAACTTAAAACCACATGGCTCATTTGCATAAATGATAAGCGCTGAAAAACTGCTCGCTCTTTCTGTTGGACTAAAAGACAAGACTCAGTGGAATATATGTGTTCTCTCTGTGACAGAGGGATGTTCTGCTGATGGTGAGTCTGTTCTGTGTGTCTATCGTGTTGGAGATGGTTCATGTTAAACTTTTCGGAGATCATACGTGTGCAGGTCGTACGTCAACAAAATCGTACACAGCTCTTTCTTTAACAGTCATTTCACTCATGTACAGTCACTTGATTTATCCGTGTTTCTCATAAACAGGATATTCTCTTATTCAGGACACTGAAACCGAGCTACTGTGTAATGCGTCGTGTAGTAGTGGTATCGGTGTGTGGTATCAACAAATGTTTAACAAGTACGAGTACAAGTATATTAAGGGAGTATCTGTATCGGTGCATCCCTAAAAACAGATTTTTCACTTATCTTCAAATATTTCAACAGTTAAAGTACTGTAGCAGAGGGGAGGCTTCAAAGGGGTTTCCCACTTTTTATTATTAAATTATTTATAACACAGGTAAGTTTGGCTGAAATATAGGACAAAGGCAGTAAATAGTGGGAAAATATACAATTCTTTATTTTAGTTAATATTAAAAGAGCTCATTTTACACATTTTTTAAAAAGGCACACAATCAACACAACAACTTCGGAGCTAAAATCTGGGACACAACTAAAACCAGATCACACAAACACTATTAGTAATGCAACAAAGACAAATTAATCAAACCAAAACAAATAGTTGCATCCCAGTTTCAGGAACCAAAGTGCTAGTGCAGTGCAAATATCTGTTTATAAATAAAAAGGTGCTATAGTATGTTTTTTAGATGTAAAGTGCTAGGTGCGTGGCTTTAATGTTAAGACTTTAGATGTTTTAAAGTGCAAGGTGCTGTTAAACACACAGAGATACACTGATTAGAGATACACCGATTAACACACGCCAACAAACGCCACCACCCCCAAACATGCATCACCCAGAGCCTCTATCTGGTTTCTAGAATAGGAGTATTCTACATGGGGGCCGGGAGCGCGTTAGGAGCGGCCGCCATCTCCGCCTGCTCCAGACAACACACGCGCCGTGTTTGCAAGTCACGAAAGCCCCGACTGCCCCACTACAGCATGCGCAGCCTTTTCTAATCGCTTAATCAGGTGGACGCCTTCACGGACGCACTACAGTCAGAATAGTCCAAACACCCGGTTACAGTACATCTCACCAAAATAAAATGTACATATTTTAAAGCATCTATCCATGGTCTATTCTGGACATATTTTTATGTTAGAATAATAAATGCTTTTTTTTTTTTTTTTTTTTTAAGGGTCAGATTCTCATAACTGCAACATGTCCACAACGGAAATATTGTGGTTTAGAAATAAATATATTTTAATTTAAATATATATATATATATATATATATATATATATATATATATATATATTATATATATATATATATATATATATATATATATATATATATATATATTAAAAAATGTGTTTCTCACCTTCCACGGTGGTTGGTCTCGCACCCTCATTGAGCTCGGGTCGTCTACCAGAGGCCTGGGAGCTTGAGAGTTCTGCGCAGTATCTTTGCTGTTCCCAGTACTGCACTTTTCTGGACTGAGATGTCCGTTGTTTTTCCCGGTATCTGTTGTAGCCACTCTTCCAGTTTGGGGGTTACAGCCCCGAGTGTCCGATCACCACAGGCACCACTGATGCCTTTACTTTCCAGGCTCTCTCCAGCTCTTCCTTGAGCCCCTGGTATTTCTCTAGCTTCTCGTGTTCCTTTTTCCTGATATTACCATCGCTTGGTATTGCGATGTCAACCACCACGGCTCTGCTCTGTTTCTTATCCACCACCACTATGTCTGGTTGGTTCGCCATCACCATTCTGTCAGTCTGTATCTGGAAGTCCCACAGGATCTTGGCTCGGTCATTCTCCACAACCTTTGGAGGTGTTTCCCACCTTGATCCTGGGGTCTCCAGCCCGTACTCTGCACAGATGTTTCTGTACACTATGCCCGCCACTTGGTTATGTCGCTCCATGTATGCTTTCCCTGCCAGCATCTTACACCCCGCAGTTATGTGCTGGACTGTCTCAGGAGCCTCTTTGCACAGTCTACACCGTGGGTCTTGTCTGGTGTGGTAGATCTGGGCCTCTATTGCTCGAGTGCCCAGGGCCTGCTCCTGAGCAGCCAGGATCAGTGCCTCTGTGTGTCCTTCAGACCAGCCCTCTCAAGCCATTGGTAGGATTTCTTGATATCAGCCACTTCAGTTATGCTCCGGTGGTACGCCCCATGTAGGGGTTTGTCCTGCCATGATGGTCCCTCCAGCACCTCTTCCTCTGGACCCCACTGTCTGAGACATTCTCTGAGCACCTCATCTGCCGGGGCCTTGTCCTTGATGTACTCAAGGAGCTTGGATGTTTCATCCTGGACAGTGGTTCCCACACTCACTAGTCCTCGGCCCCCTTCCTTCCGGCCTGCGTACAGTCTCAGGGTGCTGGATTTGGGATGGAACCCTCCATGCATGGTCAGGAGCTTTCGTGTCTTAACATCTGTGGTCTGTATCTCCTCCTTTGGCCAGCTCACAATCCCTGCAGGGTATCTGATCACTGGCAGGGCGTAGCTGTTGATTGCCTGCACCTTGTTCTTGCCATTGAGCTGCTTCTAAGGACTTGCCTCACTCTTTGCAAGTATTTGGCCGTAGCCGCTTTCCTTGTTGCCTCTTCGAGGTTGCCATTTGCTTGTGGGATACCAAGGTACTTGTAACTGTCCTCAACGTCTGCTATTGTTCCCTCTGGGAGTGACACCCCCTCTGTGTGGACTCTGTATATAATCGACCGCACTGGCTATGGATACCGACATATATATATATATATATATATATATATATATATATATAAATATACACACACATATATAATGAAAATGTTCAGTGCATGTTATACTACTGTTAGTTGCAGTAATAAACAATATGCACTTTGTCAGTATAAGTTGTGACCAAAGATCTGAAAACAGCAACATGTCAGGGCCTGTTGTGGAAGAGAGAATCAGTGTTTCGATAATGAGATAAACTAACTTAATGTAGATACATGTGCATAAATATTCATTTCCTGAAAAACATATGTAAATTTTGTTAATTTTGTATACATAGTAAAAGTTGTTTTTTGAATATGTAACATCATGTTCTTTAACATCCTGCAGTGACCACTAGATCATAAGTAGTTAGACTGAGCAAAGTGTTATTTAGACCTATTCCAACATGAATATTGATAACAACGACATAATAATGAATATTATAATATTATAAGAATATAATATTATATTGTTATTATAACAATATCATGGAATTTATTTACTGAAAATAATAATAAAGTTGAAATCCTGAGTGTGAGTGTGATTCCAATCAAGTATATATATATATATATATATATATATATATATATATATATATATATATGTGTGTGTGTGTGTGTGTGTGTGTGTGTGTGTGTGTACACACACACACACACACATATATATATATATATATATATATACACACATATACATTGGCCCGGTCAAGCAGAAGTAAACAACAAGGCCAAAAATTCTAGTTAATGCATCTGATATAAAAAAGTATTGAACAGATACATATGTACTCTAGTTTATGAAACTGTTGATCTTTTTTCTGTACCATTTTTGGTTCTAAAGTTCCATACATTTTAAACAGACCATGTATGAAACATGGAACAAAAATTATTTCCCAAATTTCAAAGACCTGAAAATCATGTAAATAAATGGATGTATTTCATCATATCTTGTGTTATTCCATCTTTGAACTGTTGATGAAGGTACATGATTTTATTTTATTTTTTTATGTATTTAAAATGATAAAAATTTGCTTGGAAGGACTGACATATTTTATAGAAATAATTACATTTCATTTTGAAGTAATATTAAAGTATTTGGAAGAAAAAAGCTGACAAATTATGCAAAATCCTGC